ACACCCCAAAACTACAACTAAGCATGCAATGGTCAAGTTTGAAGCTTGATACCTCAAATGAGTCAGAAATGATGCCAAACTTCTAGATCTACAAGCCATTTCCAAGCTCTTGCTCCTTCTTCAAACTCCTTCTTCTTCAAAACCACCAAAATTGCACCAAAAACTCAAGGTAAGCTCTAAAATACAAACAAGAGGGTTAGTGTTCAAGTTGGGCACTGACAGGACAAGGGAGGCTTTAAGGATAAGGGTTTTGGAGGTTATAAGTTGTTTAAATAGGGTGCAAACCCTAAAATTTAGGGTTTGCATCTGGTCACCCTACGACCAGGGTACGCATGGGTACGCCCATCGTACGCATGGGACTCCCCCGATTCGCGCCTCATATGCGTACGTCGTGCGTACACCCTGTAAGCCCAGCGTACGCTCCGCCCCAAAATCCTACATTTCATAATTAAGACTTGAATAAAAACAAATATAATACCTGACAAATCCCGTATGTTACATCTATACTAAAAAGCAAAATCGGTGGCCCGACGTTGTTTTTTCACAATTTAGTCCTTTCACTTTTTTTTGTTTAGTTTGTAAAAAGATACTTTATACCCTATACTTTTCAAAATTACACTTTTACCTCATTTAACTTTGAAAAACTTTTTAAACTGTTACTTCACCCATTATGTTTTCTAAACTTTCATGTTTACATATAATGTATTTTTTTATAGTTACCACCCATAAAATATCATTTTCATCTCATCGGTTCTGAACTAGCCCCCCCCCCCCCCCCCCCCCCCCCCGCGGGGTACTATATATAATATGATTTTCATGTTTACCGTCTTTATCTACGTTTCAGTGTAAAATTCTAACGTTTTTGTGCTTATTTTAACCATTTTTTTTACATGGTTTACCGTCTTTATCTACGTTTCAGTGTAAAATTCTAACGTTTTTGTGCTTATTTTAACCATTTTTTTTACATGGCTATGGTCCCTGATCACTTTTGTGTTTTTGCAACTTAAATCGTCCTAAGTTTCTATGCATGACTTTGATCTTGACTTTGTGATTTGACAACTTAAGTCCTCATCAACTTCTATTGCTAATTGCATTACATTTTGGAAAAAATGTTATATATTTTTAAAAGTGGACTATCATTTTGGAACAAACCAAAAATGAAGGATAGACTATAATTTTAGGATCGGGAAGTATTCTAGATCCGTACTTTACCCTTTTACTTCTGCAAATATCGTGTGGAAAGTGTTTCTCATTAACGTAACCATACAACAGAAGGATAATAAATTTTAGTTAAAAAGGAAAATACATAATGAACATCGGATGTTATTATTTCAATAAATTTGTTAGTACAAAGGTAGGTGGACTCCCCTATCATCCTACAGTTATTAATCACACATCTCCATCATATCTTTGAGACAAACCAGTCAAACTAGCTAAGTACTCCATCTCCCACAAATCAAAATGGGCTCTTTTGCATTCAACTCTTTCGTCGGCCTCCGCAAATCTTCGCCGGAAAAACACCACCATCACTCACTCACCACTCTACCTAAATGCATTGCACCAAGCCAAGTTCACTACCGCCGTCTCAATGTCGTCGCCGCCAAAACCAGCCCAAAAATCACTGGACGAAACCTTCGAGTCGCAGTCGTTGGCGGTGGTCCTGCCGGTGGAGCAGCTGCCGAAACTCTAGCCAAAGGCGGTATAGAGACGTTCTTGATGGAGCGCAAACTGGACAATGCCAAGCCCTGTGGTGGCGCCATTCCACTTTGTATGGTCGGAGAATTTGAGTTGCCGTTGGATATCATTGACCGCCGTGTTACCAAGATGAAGATGATCTCCCCGTCAAACATTGCCGTCGACATCGGTCAAACACTCAAACCCCATGAGTATATCGGCATGGTCCGCCGGGAAGTCCTCGATGCCTACTTACGTGACCGAGCTGCTGCCTCCGGGGCCACCATCATCAACGGACTTTTCGTCAAAATGGACAAACCCCAAGAGAAAAACGCACCTTACGTCCTCCATTACAACCCCTACAACGGCAAAACCGGATCCACCGGAGAAAGGATGAGTATCGAAGTCGATGCCATAATCGGCGCCGACGGAGCAAACTCCCGTGTCGCAAAATCCATTGGAGCCGGAGATTACGAGTACGGAATAGCTTTCCAAGAACGTGTCAAGATCCCAGACGACAAAATGCAGTACTACGAGAACGTTGCTGAGTTGTACGTCGGAAACGACGTATCACCGGACTTCTATGGATGGGTGTTTCCAAAATGTGATCACGTGGCTGTCGGAACAGGAACAGTCACACACAAACCCGACATCAAAAAGTTCCAGCTTGCCACGCGCCTCCGTGCGCATGACAAGATTCTTGGCGGAAAGATCATACGGGTGGAAGCTCACCCCATCCCGGAACACCCCCGGCCAAGGAGAGTGGTGGAGAGGGTAGCCTTGGTAGGAGATGCGGCGGGGTATGTGACGAAATGCTCCGGTGAAGGTATATATTTTGCGGCGAAGAGTGGGCGGATGTGTGCGGAGGCGATAGTGAAGGGATCGGAGAACGGTAGGAGGATGGTGGATGAGGGTGATCTGAGGAGTTATCTGAAGAAATGGGATAAAACATATTGGCCGACGTATAAGGTACTGGATGTGTTGCAGAAGGTGTTCTACAGGTCAAATCCGGCGAAGGAGGCGTTTGTGGAGATGTGTAGCAATGAGTATGTTCAAAAGATGACTTTCGACAGTTATTTGTACAAGAAGGTGGCGCCGGGGAATCCATTGGAGGACTTGAAGCTCGCCGTGAACACGATTGGGAGTCTCGTTAGGGCCCATGCACTTAACAATGAGATGGTTAAGATAAATTAAGTTATTAATAATATTCATGATATCAAATTATCAATGTAATACTAAATTTGATATATGTTTATGTTTAGCGTTAGAGATTTCCTATTGAGTAAAATAGAGTATTATTATACGGTTGATTTTAAAAAATTAAATATGAAAGTAAAAACATTAATCATTTTTTTAAATAAAATTTTCAAATAAATATAAATGAATAAAAATTAATTAATTAATTCAATCTAAATTAAAAACAACTATTGAAATATTTTAAATAATTATGTTCAATATTCCAAAAAAAACAACAACCCTTCTTAAGCTCAATATGTGTCAAAAAGATTTTATATATTTAAACAAAACTTTCATATCCACATATTTTGGAACATTTTTCATATTTCAATATTCTTCAAGTGGTTGTCTTCTTTCAACTCACAACTTAAAACAAATTTAAAACCAAAAACCCATTTATATACAAAATCAATATTTCAAGTCATCAAAATCATTCAAAGCTCCCATTGACATAAATTTGCTGTTTATGTTTTGCAACTCAAATGCTCACATATACCCTTGCTTCATCATCATTTCAAAACTCAAAATCTTGATCACCATCTCAGTTCCATTCCAAACATAGCCAACTACAAAAAGATAAGGGTATTTTGTTTATTTTTTTAAGAAAAAAAAAAGAATAAAAATGAATTCCTTTCATCCAACCTTATGAATGAAATCCATCAACCATGCAACCTAAAGGATCCTAGTGGAATTTAATTTTGTCCATTTGGATGCCATGGAATGGAATCCCATATTCCACTTCCACCGGAACCCACAAAACAAACACACCTTAAAAATGCATCATAGTACATATAATGAATGTTTTCTTGTTTCCGGATGCTATCTTTCACCACTTGATCTTAGTAATGTCACATCCAGATCATGAAACACGAGTTCGTGCACACATGTATTCTCCAATGTGCTTATGCCATCTGTAAGTCATCCTTCATCAAGTTATAAAGCTGGCAAATCTGAAATCATAGATAAAAGGACAGGGGAAAAAAGAAAAACATGCCATGGAATTATTATCATTATAAAGTTTTTTGTTCGGTTAAAGTGACACAGATGACCAAACTAAAGAATCTGTAATTGTTTTAGAAGATATGAACTAAACAATGACCATATTATTTAGTTAACTTTAAAGAAAATAATAATACTTTTGGTGTGAGAAAATCTTACTAAACAGTGACCAATCAACAAGATGTCTAAAATGATTCAAAATCATATTATAAACAGTGTTTCTGATTACCAACGTCTTAACAGTTAGGTTGAAGTCTACCATTAAAGATTATATTGAGCATGCTAGAAGTAATATAAAAATCATAAACATGAACATAATATTGGGAAGATGAGTTGTCTACCGTTGAAAATTCCTAACAAATGAGGTCATTTATAAATTCAGATCGACAGATTTGAAACCATATTCTCTTGAAAAAAAACTCAAACAAAATCAAACTTTACTTCATTCAAGTGTAATAACCTTATGTTCATTCCGTTTACAGATATGAGTAGAGGAACTCAGATTGCCCAATACAGGAATTCTCGCATCTTTTGGACAAAAAAGTAAAAAATGTCATTTTGACTAAAAAAAACTCAAATAATTAAACTTTATTGGAAATTAGTAGAGGAATTCAGAATGGGCAATAAATGTAATTTGGACAAAAAGCTAGAAAATATAATTTTGACTAAAAAAACTCAAACTTTCTTGTAAATGAGACTGCTCAATACAGGAATTCAGATTGCCCTATTATTGAATACAGATTGGCTTACATTGAACATATGGTGGGAATAATGAAAAACATTAAATTACACCACATGTTCAAGTCAAAACTTAAAAAATGATGCTCTAAACATAATAAAAAAAAGTCGAATTACTAAGCCTGTGTAGTTGTTGCTAGAGTTGATGATGTTTTTTGTAGATGAAACTCTTTCAAACTCAACCAAAGTAATCGACCTACTGAGATGAAGAATGAAATAAATATGAGTTCTTATACACACATTAAACTGAAATAGAAATTTGGAAAGGATTACAATACATGACGATTTAGAAATTTGAAACATCTACTGTCAGAGCACTTGATCTCGACTGAAAAAATACAATCACAATTTTGACTCAGAAGTGAACGTGAATAGGGAATATGAAATTTGAAATAAGCCTCATCATCTCCTTGATTTATGCAAACTGATTGGAAATCATTCAAAATTACGGATATTTTGAGGATATGGCTTTCAAAATAGCTTTCATTTAAGTTTAATATCTGATTTGTAATTTAATTTAAAAGTTTTATTCCATATTATTTGCCTACAAACCATTTTGTTTTTAAAAATTTAATTTAAAATCATATAAAAGTAACCTAATTATTCCTAAAAATTAATCCTCATAAATTAGGAATCAATATTTTGACGTGACTTCCTTATTAGAAAAATATGATGTGTAATTTTTCTAGGCCATATGAAAAGAAAAAGCTAAATTATAAGAAAATGACACGTGGTCAAACGCTTAAGAAGATAACATATGACAGAAAATGTTTTCATTTATTAAAGTGGATTGTATAATCGTTAAGTACATGAATTTCAAAACATTTGGACATTTCTTCACAGTACAAACTCAAAACTAACGTGACATCAAAAGGTAGTCTTCCTTATATAGGGTGGTTGTACTTTAATTTTTTTTATGGATTTTCCAACCATGGATATTAAGTTTTATGGTAAATAGTAAATACTTGTGAACATAAAGTGAACAAGTCTTATATGTCTAGGTGTTAGCGCCAAGAACCAACAATATTCAAGATACTTGGTCTTCAATGTCTTTTAGGATCCCAAACCTATCTCAGGATCCTCACAATTAATATTATTATTTCTAGGGATCACAATTGTTGACACAACACGACAAAAATACATGATACGAAACGAAATTGGGATGAAACTGAAATTCAAATTCGTGTTCGTATTCGTGTTCGTTTCAAGTGTAAAAAACACGATGTTGTGTCGTGTCCTGTTCGTGTTCAAAATTCGACACGAAAGTGACACGATTTAATAATTATTTGTCGTGTTTTTCGTGTTTGTCGTGTTATGTATGGTTAAATATTAATTAAATAAACTAAGTTTTATATTATATAATCTTTGTCGTGTCGTGTTGTGTTTGTCGTTTTTTAATTGGTTCGTTTTCGTGTTAGTTAAAAAAAACACGACATCGTGTCGTGTCGTGTTCGTGTTATATAAAACTTTGGTGTGTCGTGTCGTGTCAGACAAAAACACAACACGATGACCCGATTTGCCACTCCTAATTATTTTCTAACATTTCTAATAGATATATTTCTATTCTTTTTCTCACAGTTTGTCGTTTTTTACTCACTTGTTTTTATTACAACATAGAAACTTTTTATATTTCATAAATCAACCATAGTCTTTTAAGGTTAAGGGTGTAAGTGAGCCGAGCTACTCCTGAGCTACTCAGGATCGACTCGTTAAAAGCTCGACTTGAAATCGAGTTAAACGAGCTCGAGCCGAGCTTCAATTAGTGGGCTCGCGAGCCTAAACGAGTTTAAACGAGC